AAAAAAAAAAAGAATGAATGGCTTTCATCTTAGAACGAATAAAGCACCGAGTCCACAGCTCCCGCCCAAGGTCCTTCAAACAGCCGTGCCAGGTACTGGACCTCATGCCCAGGACAGAGCCAAGGGATACGCCAACTTCAGGGAGTGCCTCTTGGACTCTGCCAAGACCAGGGTGTTCACACAACCAAGTCCGGGGGCCGCCATGAAAGAGGAGCAGGAACGGGGAGCCTGGAGATATCGGTGCCACAGTCCTGCACGTGTGGAGGCCAAGGCAGCCGTGGCCAAGGCCGGGAGCCATCTCCCCTCCCACCCCTCCGGCTGCCGGAGTGCAGGCATGACACACAGTGGCTGGGCCCAGAAGCCCGACCCTCTGGGGGTGGGGGAGAGGCTTGCAGTTCCCATCAGCTGCTGCGGGTCGCCCCAGCACCAAGGGGAGCTTCACTATGGCCCACGCTCCCTTCCTGGTGTTGACCCCAACCCAGCAGGGAGCAGCCTGTCCAAGTACAGGCTCTGCCTCCTTGCGCCCTCTGGTGGCCACACTGGTTAGCGCCAGAGGGGAACCCAGGATCTCCCCCAGCCCCTCCCAGGGGGTTCCTCTTCCCCTAAGTCAAGGTTTCAGCTGCACAAGAGATGATCCAAAGAGCTGGGGGATATCAGCAGCCCTTGGACTGGCTGGGCCCACCCTGACCAGCAAGGTGAGGCTGGTAATGACTTCGGGGATGACTACATCCGCCCCACTGGGTGAGCACTCACTGTGGGCCAGACTCAGGCCAGGCCACTCTATACCCAACCAGCCACAATGACCAAAGTGTAGACTAAGGCCCAGGGAAGGGATGACACCCACCCAAGATCACCCAGCACAGAGGCGATGCTGGATCGGCCTGACTCCTCGCCTGTCCTCCCGTCTCTCTCCCTCTAATTGCTCAACCATAGATCAGGAAGCCTCCTCCCATGCCAGCTGAGATACAGAGGCTCAGCCATGAGTTAAAAAATATGAAGTAAAAATATAAAAATTAGCTGGGCGAGGGGGCGCATGCCTGTAATCCCAGCTACTAGAAAGGCTGAGGCAGGAGAATCACTTGAACCCAAGAGGCGGAGGCTGCAGTGAGCTGAGATCGCGCCACTGCACTCCAGCCTGGGTGACAGAGTGAGACTCCATCTTAAAAACAAACAAATATATATATACATATATAAAGTGGCAGGGTGCAGTGGCTCACAGCCTCTCATCCCAGCACTGTGGGAGGCCAAGGTGGGTAGATTGAGCCCAGGAGTTTGAGACCAGCCTGGGCAACATGCAAAACCCAGGCTCTACAATACAAAATAAAATTTAGCCAGGCGTGGTGGCACATGCCTGTGGTCCAGCTATGTGGGAGACTGAAGCAGGAGGATCGCTTGAGCCCAGGAGGTTGAGGCTGCAGTGAGCTGGGTTTGCGCCACTGCACTTCAGCCTGGGCAATGGAGGGAGACCCTGTGTCTATATATATATACACACACACACACATATGTGTATATATATTTAAAGTGCAAATGGCTTTTATTGAGGGCCTACTGTGTGCTGGGCAACAAGTCTGCAAGGGTCGTCCTCTACCTCTCTTGTACTTTGCACCAGCCAGGGAGGAGGGTGCTGGGGAGACCTAAACATCAAGCTGGGGGAGGGTGCTGAGGTGGAGGTAGAAGGGGGCAGAGGGATCCCTCAGCTGAGTCCTTAGGGAGGGAAGGGCGCATAGGGTATGCCCAGCTTGAAACAGAAGGCTGGGGGCCACCAGGCCCTGAATCAGGCCAGGCAGGGTCAAAGGGCCTGGAAGTCCTATTCCTTTGCGGTGAGACCTTTAGGGAATGGGATCCATCTCTGAGTGGTTTCTCCTGATGAAAGACAGGTCCAGAGGGCAGAGTGACCATGCCCAAGGTGGTGGCCAGGTCTGACTGGATCTGCGGTCCCTGCCAACGACCTCCTCCTCTGCTCTCTGGGCAGTAGTGGCCTGCTCCTGGGCACTCCTTTGCAGTCATCACCCGGACCTGGTGGGACAGGAGGAGCAGGAAGAGAAAGAGAATTAGACAGAATCAGAGAGAGACAGATACCAACAGATATAGGAAAACAGAGGCAGAGACAGGCAGAGAGAGGAAGAGCTAGAAAGGGATGCAGAGACAGCTGAAGGTACAATTAGAGACAGACACAGAGCCCAGGCAGAGTGGGTCACGCCTGTAATCCCCAGCACTTTGGGAGACTGAGACAGCCGGATCATTTGAGGTCAGGAGTTGAAGACCAGACTGGCCAACATGGTGAAACCCTGTCTCTACTAAAAATACAAAAAGCCAGGTGTGGTGGCTCACACCTGTAATCCCAGCACATTGGGAAGCCGAGGCGGGCAGATCACCCGAGGTCAGGAGTTCAAGACCAGCCTGGCTGACATGATGAAACCCTGTCTCTACTAAAAATACAAAATTTAGCTGGGCGTGGTGGCGGGCGCCTGTAGTCCCAGCTACTCGGGAGGCTGAGACAGGAGAATTGATTGAACCCAGGACGCGGGAGGCAGAGGTTGTAGTGAGCTGAGATCATGCCACTGCACTCCAGCCTAGGCGACAGAGCAAGACTCCATCTCAAAATAAGTAAATAAATAAAAATAAAAATACAAAAATTAGCCAGGCCTGGTGGTGGGTGCCTATAATCCCAGTTACTAGGGAGGCTGAGGCAGGAGAATTGCTTGAGCCCGAGAGGTGGAGGTTGCAGTGAGCCAAGATCACACTACTGCACTCCAGCCTGGGCAACAGAGCGAGACTCCGTCTCAAAAAAAAAAAAAAACAAAAAACATGGCCGGGCGCAGTGGCTCACACCTGTAATCCCAGCACTTTGGGAGGCTGAGGCGGGTGGATTATGAGGTCAGGAGATCGAGACCATCCTGGCTAACACGGTGAAACCCCGTCTCTACTACAAAAAAAAATTAGCCGGGCGTGGTGGCGTGTGCCTGTAGTCCCAGCTACTTGGGAGGCTGAGGCAGGAGAATAGCGTGAACCTGGGAGGCGGAGCTTGGAGTGAGCCGAGATCCGGCCACTGCACTCCAACTTGGGTGACAGAGTGAGACTCCGTCAAAAAAAAAAAAAAAAAAGGACACAAAGGCAAAGCTAGAGATGGAGAGAGGGAGAGAGAAGGCTGAGAAGGGGGAAAACAACCCCAGATATAGTCATGCCATCAAAGGGAAGAGCAAGCCAAGGTCTATGCATCCTCACCTAGAGCTCATCTCGAGGCTGGGGTTGGAGGCTGTGCCCACTGCTGCCAGCCATGTCCAGGGTCTTTTGGGAGCTGCGCAGGGTCTTTTGGGAGCCACTCCAGCTGATGAGGCGGCCGCTGTCGTCATCCCATGGAGAGGAAGTCTCCGTGTCACTGAGCCACTCGGCGTCCCCAGCATAGTGGGTAGGGGCAGCAAGCAGGGGCCGGGCGGAGAAGGCCACCAGGTCCCTCGGCCAGAAGTGTGCCTTGTACTGCTCGCTGTAAGGTGAGAGGACAGCTCAGGAGGACTGAGGCGGGCCCCTACTCCCCACTCACACGCCTGCCTGGAGCCAGGCACCTTGCCTGCCCAAAGCACCTCACTCCCTGTCATCTAGTCCTCACAACAGCCCTGAGCAGTGGCACTTCTACTATCTCCATTTTCCAGATGAAGAAACGGAGGCTGAGAACAGAGAAGTCATTTGATTAAAAACTGCATGCAGCTGGGCGCGGTGGCTCATGCCTGTAATCCCAATACTTCGGGAGGCCGAGACGGGCAGATCACCTGAAGTCGGGAGTTCGAGACTAGCCTGACCAACATGGCGAAACCCCATCTCTACCAAAAATACAGTGGCTCACGCCTGTAATCCCAGCACTCAAGTGATCAAGCGGATCACTTGAGGTCAAGGAGTTCGACACCAGCCTGGCCAACATGGAAAAACCCCCATATCTACTAAAAAATACAAAAAAGTTAGCTGGGTGTGCTGGCGGGCACCTGTAATCCCAGCTACCCAGGAGGCTGAGGCAGGAAAATCACTTGAACCTGGGAGGCGGAGGTTGCAGTGAGCCAGGATCGCGCCACTGCACTCCAGCCTGGGCAACAGAGCAAGATTCCATCTCAAAAATAAATAAATAAATAAATGAATAATAGCAGGATGTGGTGGCATTTGCCTGTAATCCCAGCTACTTGGGAAGCTGAGGCAGGAGAATTGCTTGAACCTGGGAGGCAGAGGGTGCAGTGAGTCCAAATCACGCCACGGTATTCTAGCCTGGGCAACAGAGCAGGACTCCATTTAAAAAAAAAAAAAAAAAGCCTGCGTGCGCTGCGCAAAATACACACTGAGATTGTTCTGACTCTAAGGTTAGGCTGAGCCACTCCTGGGCCAATGACTTGGCCTTGCCAGTCCCAGTCTCCCCATCTGCCCAGTGAGGGGACTTCCTACTGATTGAGGTGAGTTCCCGGAGGGGACGCCCCTGCCCTGCCATGCCCGGCCCCCATCAGAGTCTCACTTGGGGTGCTGGTCGAACATGATGGGCAGGAACTCGTCCACAGGCAACATGCGGTGTAGAGGCTGTGAGGCCAGCAGCTTGCGGGCGCCCGCCAGGCTCAGGGCGTAGGCCAGCGTCCAGTAGGAGTACCCGGCCACCACCAGGCCCGGCAGCCCCTCCACGGCTGCCTCCTTCTCAGGGTTCACCTGCTTCCGCCCGAGGTAGCTGAAAGTGACACCAAGGGGCCCAGGACTCTCTTAGGTCCTGGGTATCATGAGACCCCCCACCCCGCACCCGTTCCTTCAGGGCCAGGCTCTTGGGGGAGGGGCTGGCCAGGGTCCCAAGCAGGAAAAGGCAGACTCCAGAGGCCCACCCCGCCCCCCTGTCCCTGAGGGCGCAGGCTGCCTACATCAGGTCCCATGGCAGTTTCTCTGCCTCCACATCCTCCATCAGCCGCTCCAGCCTCCCCCTGAAGTTGCTCTCAAAGCGCACGTCATCCTCAAACACCAGGACCTGGGACAGGCCCCTCACAACCACCTGTGATACACGATGGGGTGGGAGATGGCTCTTCAGAGTTCAGCTGTCCCCTCCCTCCACGCTGCAGCCCACAGCCTCTCCCTGGCCTTGGTTGGCCTGGCCACATCATGCAGTTGCCCCAAAGCCTGCTGGGGGCCCCACTGCCCGGGACCTGAAATCCCAACCTCACTCTGGCATCTGAGGCTCTCCAGATAGAATCATGATGGTAACCATGGCCCCTGCCACATTCCCTGAGTGCTACTGCACCCCAGGGCTGTGCCACTGCGTATCTCCAGGAGCCCTCAGGAGGCAGGAAATGACGATCCTCAACTGCAGGAGGGAGGAGGACACGCAGGGATGGGAGAGTGCCTGTCCAAGGACACACAGCCAGGAGGTGGCAGAGCTGGGATACGAACCCACATCTGCTGAACACCAGGGCCCAGATGGCCACTTTGGCCTTCTGCAATTTTCTTTTCTTTTTTTTCTTTCTTCCTTTTTTTTTTTTTGAGACAAAGCTTCACTCTTGTTGCCCAGACTGGAGTGAAATGGCCTCCCAAGTCAGGGGGCTGCATGGAAGAGGAGCAGGAACGGTGGAGGCCAAGGTAGCCATGGCCAAGGCCAGGAGCCATCTCCCCTCCCACCCCTCCAGCTGCCTGAGTGCAGGCATGACAGACAGGAGCTGGGCCCAGAAGCCCAACCCTCTGGGGGCTGGGGAGAGGCTTGAGTTCCCATCAGAAGATGGTCTCGGCTCACTGCAACCTCCGCCTCCTGGGTTCAAGTGATTCTCCTGCCTCAGCCTCCCAAGCAGCTGGGATTACAGGCGCCCGCCACCACACCAGGCTAATTTGTATATTTTTAGTAGAGACAAGGTTTCACCATGTTGGCCAGACTGGTCTTGAACTCCTGACCTCGTGATCTGCCCGCCTCAGCCTCCCAAAGTGCTGGGATTACAAGCATGAGTCACCACACCTGGCCTGGCCTCCTGCTATTTTCTTTCTTTACAGTCCTTTTTAAGGTTCCTGACCTGTGGTAAGTTAATTTTTTTTTTTTTTTTTTTTTTTTGAGGTGGAGTTTCGCTCTTGCTCAGGCTGGAGTAAAGTAAAGTGGCATGATGACTCACTGCAACCTCCACCTCCCCCGTTCAAGCAATTCTCCTGCCTCAGCCTCCTGAGTAGCTGGGTGGGATTCTAGGCATCTGCTACCATGCCCGGCTAATTTTTGTATTTTTAGTAGAGACGGGGTTTCACCATGTTGACCAGGCTGGTCTCGAACTCTTGACCTCAGGCGATCCACCCACCTCGGTCTCTCAAAGTGCCGGGATTACAGGCGTGAGCCACTGCGCCCGGCCTCTCCTGCTATTTTCTAAAGGAAGCTGGGCTGGGTGGGGATTGGGAAGACCCCAGCCCCGAATATCCCAAATAAAAAGTACTTTCGATAACTTTTGGAAAAGTTACTTCAGAATAACTTTCGGAAAACTACTTTTGATAACTTCTGTGAAAAGAAAAGGAAATCAGCTCAGAAATTAGTGAAGCCGGGAGCGCTGGCTCATGCCTATAATCCCAGCACTTTTGGAGGCTGAGGTGGGTGGAATCACTTGAGCTCAGGAGTTCGAGACCAGCCGCCTAGCCAACATGGCGAAACCTTGTCTCTACAAAAAATACAAAATTTAGCTGGGTGTGGTGGTGCGCGCCTGTAGTTTCAGCTACTTGGGGGGCTAAGGTGGGATAATTGTTTGAGCCCAGGAGGTCCGGGCTGTGGTGAGCCATTGCACTCCTGACTGGGTGCCAGAACAAGACCCTGTCTCAAAAAAAAAAGTAGTGAACCATGTTCTGAGATGGTAAAAAAGTCAACATAGGTTGAGCGTGGTGGCTCATCCCTGTAATCCTAGCACTTTGGGAGGCCAAGACGGGCAGATCACCTGAGATTAGAAGTTAGCTGGGCGTGGTGGCAGGTGCCTGTAATCCCAGCTACTCAGGAGGCTGAGGCAGGAGAATCACTTGAACCCAGGAGGTAGTGGTTGTAGTGAGCCAAGACTGCACCACTGCATTCCAGCCTGGGCGACAGAGCAATACTCCAGCTCAGGAAAAAAAAACAAAACAAAATACCCCATGATGCTCACATACACATACACATATATTTGGCTATAGCAGAGAATAAAAACAAGGAATCCATGTCCCATCTCCTGGAGGGGCTGCCCTTGGAGGGCTTAGTTCCCCTGTTCTCTCCAGCCGTGTCCAGCAACCTCTCCTCTGCGCTCACACTCCCAGCCCCTGGGCTGAGGCTTCCTGGCCAAGTACTGAGCACATGCTGAGTCCCAGGCTTCCTTCTTTCTGCTCCTAAACACCTTCCTGCCTCAGGACCTTGGCACCCACTGTTCTCCTCTGCCTAGAAGGCCTTTCTCCCTGCCGCTCAATGGCGACACCGACTCTGACCTCTCCCACACCAGGTGCCTTTTAAAGTGGCCCACACCTCTCCCCTCCACTGCAAGCTTGGTTTTCTTGATTTTTTTCTTGGTTTCAGTAACCCCCCTCTGGTCCCTGAGCCCCAGGGGGATCCCTTTTTTGGAGGAAGGAGCAGATATGCATTGTTCCTGTCCTCCTCTGTGTTCTCACAGCAGAATATCTCCTAGCACACAGTAGGTGCTTAAGAGAGACTGCAGAATGCAAACGGGTACCGCTTAGCGGTGCCCACTGGGGTGCTGAACACAGAGGAGATTGAAAGCTGCTGGCCAGGTTTTGATGCATATCTTCATTCATGCACTCGTTCACAGAGCAGTGAATAGAACAAACTGGCCCCGTTCTCCCCGAAGGCCGTGGGTGGAGGAAGCAGGTGCCCTCACCTCTTCCCAGATGGAGTAATGGCTGAGGAAGCAGCCCACCTCGCCCTTGGTCAGGGTGCGGCCTGAGTAGGGGTCCTGGTAGCCCGGGAGCAGGTCTACACCGAGGCTCCTGATGGCACTGCTGTTGAGCATCCTGAGGGACACAGGTGTGATGTCAGGTGAGGGGTGCCTGCCAGAGACCCCTCCAGAGGGGCCAGGCCTGTGCATGGTGGGGACGGTCACACTGGAGTCGGGTTTGAAGAAGGTTTCTGCCTTGTAACTCTTTTGTGTGACCTGAAGCTGTCAAGGGACTGGACCTGGGGAACTGGAGCCACTGTTGCCCAGGCTGGACTGCAGTGGCACCATCTCAGTTCACTGCAACCTCTACCTCCCGGGTTCAAGCAATTCTCCTGCCTCAGCCTCACAAGTAGCTGAGATTACAGGCACACACCATCACACCTGGCTAATTTTTTTTTTTTTTTTTTTTTTTTTTTTTTTAGTAGAGACGGGGTTTTACCATGTTGGCCAAGCTGGTCTCGAACTCCTGACCTCAGGTGATCTGCCCGCCTCAGCCTCCCAAAGTGCTAGGATTACAGGCGTCAGCCACCACGCCCGGCCACCTCAGGAGTTCTGAGGATAACTATTAGGACGTGTCCTAATATGATAGGATAGGGGTTACCCTTGAGGAAAGGGTGGGATGGTAGGGGGCTGCCTGAGGGGGAGGCACTCTAGGAAAAATGTGGGAACATGAGAGATACTTCTTGGGCAGAGGCCCAAGCAAAGGATGGATAGCTTATGGTCAAGAGACCTCGGGGGACATGGTGTCTCACACCTGTAATCCCAGTGCTTTGGGAGGCCAAAGTGGGAGGATTGCTTGAAGCCAGGAGTTCAAGACCAGCCTGAGCAACAGAGAGAAACCCCATCTCTCCAAAACAAAAAGTTTTTTTGAGACAGACTCTCACTGTTGTCAGCCCAGGCTGGAGTGCAACGGCACGATCTTGGCTCACTGCAACCTCTGTCTGCCTCCCGGGTTCCAGCAATTCTCCTGACTCAGTCTCCTGAGTAGCTGAGATTACAGGCGCCCACCACCACGCCCAGCTAATTTTTGCATTTTTAGTAGAGAGAGAAAAAAATTTTTTTTGAGAGAGTCTCGCTCTGTTGCCCAGGCTGGAGTGTAGTCGTGTGATCTCGGTTCACTGCAAGCTCCGCCTCCCGGGTTCACGCCATTCTCCAGCCTCAGCCTCCTGAGTAGCAGGGACTACAGGCGCCAGCCACTATGCCTGGCTAACTTTTTGTATTTTTAGTAGAGACGGAGTTTCACCATGTTAGCAAGGATGGTCTCGATCTCCTGACCTCACGATCCACCCTCCTCGGCCTCCCAAAGTGCTGGGATCACAGGTGTGAGCCACCGTGCCCGGCCCTGCCAAAAAGTTTTTTTAATTAGCTGGGCATGGTGGTGCATGCCTGTAGTCCCAGTTACTCAAGAGGGTGAGGCAGGAGGGTCACTTGAGGCCAGGAGTTCAAGACCAGCCTAGGCAACAGAGTGAGACCCTGTCTCTATGAAAAAAAATTTTTTTTTTTAGCTGGGTGTGGTGATGCAAGCCTGTAATCACAGCTACTCAGATGGCTGATGGAGGAGAATCACTTAAAACCCGGGAGGCGGATGTTGCAGTGAGCCGAGATTGCGCCACCGCACTCCAGCCTGGGTGACAGAGCAAGACTCTGCCTCAAAAAAAAAAAAATTATTTTTAATTAGCTGGGTGTGATGGTGCACGCCTATAGTCCAGTTACTCAGAGGCTGAGGCAGGAGGATTGCTTGAACCCAGGAGTTTAAGGCTTCAGTGAGCCATGTTTGTGGCACTGCACTGCGCCCGGGTAACAGATGGAGACGCTGTCTCTAAAAAAAAAAAACAGAGCTGAGCACTTGAAGCAAATAGCAGCAGACGACATATGGGGCCACAGGACCCCGGTGGCTGGAGGAGCCTGGCCTCTGGATTCCCCAGGGGAACATGGCTGCCCTTTCCCGATCTCCGCCCACCAGGAACTCAAGTCCAGGATGGAGAGTAATAATACTGAAAATACCTAACCTTTGGAAACTTACTACGTGCCCGGCCCTGGCTAACTTCACTAAACCCACAAAACCCTAAGAGAAGGGCACAGTTATCTGCTATTTATACAAAAGGGCTGAGAGATGGGGGTAGCTGGCTGGAGGTCACACATTCAATAGCTGGTAGAGCTGGAACCCAGGCCGAGGAGCCTCAGCCACTGTGCTCGCCTCCTCTGGTGAGCAGTGGGAGGGCGGCTTCTCCCACGTGTGTCTGCTCCGAAACTCCCTGACCAAGTATTACTCAGACCCTATTTGGATACTTCCTGGGACAGGAAACTCATTCAACCTGTCTGCTTTTCCCAGTCCTAGGGGGCTTGGAGATGGACCACACTGCTCCCCCAAGAGCTCAGGGCCCCATCCCAGGCAGCCTCACCGGCCGTCCACAGCGTCCACCACCCGCCCAGAGATCTCCATCTCCCAGAGCGAGGCGAGCATGCGTTCTCGACGGTCAGGCCTGCGAGCCAGGCTGATGACAAAGACCTGGAGGAGGCAGGGGGTGGGTGGTAAGTGCAGGGGAGAGGGAGGGGAGGGCCCATTCACCTCCTAACAGCGAGCCCACAGGCTCGGGGACTTACCTCATCAAACCCTATCTTGCTGGGCCTCTTGGAGGGCCGAGTCACGTGAGCTGAGGCCTGCATGGGGGGGCCGTCCACTGCAAAGGGAAGTAGACCCCAAGCATGAGTCCCTACTGACTCCTGTTAGCAGTCACCCTGAAGTCCTAGCCCCCAGCCTCATTCCTGCCCCCAGCCCAGCAGAACACCCCACAGGCTGGGACCTCAGAGATCACAAGATCCACCTGTCCCCATTGTAGGGATGTGAGACTGAGGCCCAACAGGGAAAGGGACTTTCTCAGAGTCATGGAACGAGTTAGCAGTAAGGCTGGAACCCCAAGGCCAATGCCCGCTCCAGTACAGGGCCTAAGGAAAGGGGCACCATGGGGAGGCATGGAGCCCTGGCAGCAGGCGGGTGGAACAGTTCCCCAGCCCTCACCTAGTGCTTCTAAGATCAGGTGGATGAAGTTGACCCTCTCGTCTTCCAGCCCCTGGTGGGATTTCACAGGCACATTGATGTACCCATAACGGTGCTCATTGCACACGTGGACTGCGACCCCTGCAGAGACAGGCTGAGTGAGAGCTACAGTGGAGGGGGGGGGGCTCTCAGAACCCAGCTGAGAGGTCCTAGGCCCAGCAATGCCAGTTACCCGTGTCGGTCTTCTCTGGGACTCAGTTTCCCCACCTGTAGGACCAGAGGGAGAAAGGGCTTGGCTCACACAATATCTAAGGGGTCGTTCTGCTGAGATGGTTCATTCATTCAATATACCTGTCCAGGGCACCCACTGGAAGTCAGGGTTACGGCAGTGAGCAAGACTGAGACCCTGCCCTCAGGGTATCAAGGTGAGGCAGGAGCAGGCAAACTCCCACCCACCACAGCCACAGGATGGCAGTGAGCCCCACTGCTCTGTTCTCTAAATCCCCCCATCTCTCCCGATCCCCACCACCCCACCTAGATCCAAGGGCCATCACCTTTTCCCCAGACCCCTCCACTTCACCCCAAACCCTCTGGGGCTCCCTTCCACAGTATCTTTCACCTGGCAGCCAGAGTGGCCTTCCCCGGGCTTCAATATTTGTCACTTTTTTTTTTTTGAGACAGTGTCGCTCTGTCGCCCAGGCTGCAGTGCAGTGGCTCATTGCAAGCTACGCCTCCCAGGTTCACGTCATTCTCCTGCGTCAGCCTCCCTAGTGGTTGGGACTACAGGCACCCGCCACCATGCCCAGCTAATTTTTTGTATTTTTAGTAGAGACGGGGTTTCACCATGTTAGCCAGGATAGTCTCGATCTCCTGACCTAGTGATCTGCCCGCCTCGGTGTGATCTTGGCTCATTACAACCTCTGTCTCCCGGGTTCGAGTGATTCTCCTGCCTCAGCCTCCTGAGTAGCTGTGAATACAGGTGTGCGCCACCACACCTGGCTAATTTTTGTATTTTCAGTAGAGATGGGGTTTCACCATGTTGGCCAGGATGGTCTCGAACTCCTGGCCTGAAGTCATCCACCGCCCCCCCTAGGCCACCCAAACTGTTGGGATTACAGATGTGAGCCACTGCACCTGGCCAATATTTGTTACCTTTATTATAACTATCCTCAGGGGCAGGCACACAGTGCCAATTAAAAAGCTAACCCAGGCGGGGCACAGTAGCTCACGCCTGTAATCCCAGCACCTTTGGAGGTCCAGGCAGGCAGATCACTTGAGGTCAGGAGTTCAAGACCAGCTTGGCCAACATGGTGAAACTCCATCTCTACTAAAAATACTAAAATTAGCTGGGTGTGGTGGTGGCTGCCCGTAATCCCAGCTACTTGGGAGGCTGAGGCAGGAGAATCACTTGAACCTGGGAGGCAAAGGTTGCAGTGAGCCAAAGTCACACCACTGCACTCCAGCCTGGGTGACAGAGCAAGACTCTGTCTCAAAAGCAAACAAACAAACAAAAAACAAATGAAAGCTGACCCTATTCCCAGCATCGAGCACAGAGCTTGGCCCAGAGCAGGGATATAATAGCTGGCTGTTAGAGACTGAATTCCTTCAAATCATTGACCGATTAACAAGGGCTGTCGCTTGAAGCAGGGATAGCACATGAAAAATAACAGAATGCTTTTGTTTTCGCTTGTGTTTTCCCCTCCAATTGTTTCACCTTCACTCACTTTTTCCACTTGATAAGATTTCTTCTTGCATGTCTGCACACTGCAGATTTCTCCAGCACAAAACAAAGAATCACAACACCCTCCTTACCGGCTGCCACTAATTACTTAATTAAATCGTCACCTCTAATTTACCCTGACCACCTGCAAAGTTCTTCTCCGTGCACCAGATAGTCTTCAAGGTCAGAATTACACATTCTCTGCAGCCTTCTCAAGAGCTTCACTCCAACATGAGTGTCTCCACTCCTCCCTCTCATCCACAGGACTGGATCCTGTTGATTTTTTTTTTTTTTTTTTTTTTTGAGACGGAGTCTCACTCTGTCACCCAGGCTGGAGTGTAGTGGCGCGATCTCGGCTCACTGTAAGCTCTGCCTCCCACGTTCATGCCGTTCTCCTGCCTCAGCCTCCCAAGTAGCTGGGACTATAGGCACCCACCACCATGCTCGGCAAATTTTTTGTATTTTTAATAGAGACGGGGTTTCACCGTGTTAGCCAGGATGGTCTCCCTCTCTTGACCTCGTGATCCACCTGCTTTGGCCTCCCAAAGTGCTGAGATTACAGGCATGAGCCACTGCACCCAGCCAGGATTGGATTTATTCCATTCACACCCAAACACTTTCTCTTTTTTTTTTTTTTTTTGAGGCAGGGTCTCATCCTGTGTTGCCCAAGGTGGAGTACAGTGGCATGATCACAGCTTACTTCAGTCTCAACCTCCTGGGCTCAAGCGATCCTCCTGCCTCAGCCTCCCAAGAAGCTGGGACTACAGGTGTGGGCCAACACACCAGGTTAATTTTTAAATTTTCCTGTAGAGATGGGGTCTCGCAGCCAGGGGTGGTGACTCACACCTGTAATCGTAGCACTTTGGGAGCTGAGGGGGCAGATCACCTGAGCCCAGGAGTTCAAGACCAGCCTGAGCAACACGGCAAAACCCCATCTCTATGAAAAATACAATAATTAGCTAGGCATGGTAGTGTGCACCTGTGGTCCCAGCTACTCGGGAAGCTGAGGTGGGGAGGTCAACACTGCAGTGAGCTGAGATTGTGCCACTGCACTCCAGCCTGGGCCATAGAGCAAGACTCCATCTCAAAAAAAAAAA